GGGTGCATAAACAGGTAACAATTAAACAGTTGGAAACATGATACCTGAAAACAAGAATAGGCGTTACTGACTCTGCATCCACAGCTCCAGAAAGAACTTGGCTTAGAGTTGAGTCATATTTATTGCAAACAGATAATAGATGGAAGTGAGGTTATTGGATGATAGACGATTGTGAACATAAATTCTAGAAGCATAAGTTTATTGGCTTGCTGGTAAGCCTTAGTTCTTAGTCAGGACTGTAAATTAGGCTATAAATTGTGCTAAAGCTTGCAAAAACATAGTGGTGGAAAGACAAGAAGCAGCAAAAAACAGATTGAATCTGTAAGTTATTTGAATCTGTTGAGTGTAGGCAATTTTAAATACGTACATAAGCCTTACTGAAGTAAGTAGTTAGCTGTTTGCTGACCTTGGACATATATTACTTTATGAAGATTATAGAAAACGTCTGAGGTTGAGACAAATTCTTGCAAAGCTCACAACTTTGACTTTCAGTCCAAAGTGCATTTATTGCCTTTCAGGAGAACTCCACAATGTCTAGGTTTTGTTCTAAACTGTCCTAGCTGCTATGCCCGAAGAAGATGAACAGTATCCATTGCAGTTTGCTCTGTGGGTGATCTCTGAAAAAAAAGGCATTTATAATCTGCATGGACATTAGTATTTTTCCCTGCCCTTTTTCTGAGCTCAGATGCTTTCCCGGTGTCCCAGCCAACAATTTTTCCAGTCTTTATTGGGAACTGCGATCTGTGCTGCTTTTTCCCTTTGACTGCTACCTTCTGTCTTTTAAATGGCTTTTGTTCTAGGAGTCAAATCATTCTCTGAAAGTGCAGTATAGAACCATTTGATTAAAGTTTCTGAAAAATGTCAGGGCACAACTAGTTTTTTTACCTGGATTTTAGTGGTCAAAAGCATGCAACAGCACAGTAGCATGGAAATTTAGTGGCAGAAAAAAATGTAGTATTCTTGTTTTAAAAATTCTTCATGTAGTGAGAATGTGTGTGAAATGAAGTAGGAAGACAAGTGAACAATTTAACAGATCCTGGTTCCAAAACAATTGAAACATTGCAAAAACAAACCCCCTTTCATTTATGGGAAAATATAAACAGAGCTACTTCTTCAGACAAGCAAGTGCTAGGAATTACACATTTTAAAAACAGATCAATAGGATTTATGGACCACTTCTGTGACAGAAGCTAGCCTACACGACTGTTTGAGTTCAGCTCTATAATCCCAGGACAGGGAAGAATTAGTTCTGAGGCCCATGTTCCTTTCCCTAAAGTTAAGCCTTATGTGTCTCACTTTAGCCTCTGCAAAAGTATGGAGAAGATTAAACTGGAAGCTGTTAAAAAACACCTGAAAGGCAGTGCAGTCTTTTGTCACAGCCAATATGGGTTCACAGGAGGAAAGTCCTGTTTAATGAACTTAGTTTCTTTTTACACAAGATTACTGATATAGTTCACCAAGGCAAACTGGTTGATGTAATCTTTTTGAATTTCAGCAAAGCTTTTGATACTGTCTCTCATGGTCTTCTTGTGGACAAAATGTCCACTGTAGAGCTAGACAAAAACATAACATGGTAGGTAAACAATTGGCTGGTGGGTCAGACTCAGTGTCTGTTTATAATGTTCACAATGTTTATAGTGAATGGGATTCCATCAGGCTGGTGGCCATACACTTGTGGTAATCTACAAGGGCTCCATTTTAGGGACAATTCTCTTCAATATTTTTATAAATGATTAGGGTGCAAGAGTTGAAGTAAGTAAGTAAGTTTGTGTATGACACCGGATTGTGAGGAGCTGCTGTTTATCTTGCTCCACAGCTGCTGTTCTGAATAGTTTTTCTTGTATTCTCACAAGGAGCTGTTTAGTCCCTTGAGGCTAGAGAGGCATTGCAGAGAGTTCTTGACAGATCAGAAGGCTGAGCAATCACCATGGATGGAATTTAAAAAGTGCAGATGCTGAATTCTGCACCAGAGGTGGCATAACCCTGGATGTATTTACAGAGTGAGAGTAAGCACTGCTGTGGAATGAGGATCTGGGTGTTCTGGCAAGTTGCACATGAGGCAGCAGTGTGCCCTGGCAGCCCAAATGGCCAACTACCTGGGGTGCAGCAGGTCCTGCACTGCCATCGGGGATGGGGAGGGGCTGTCTGCTCTGCTCTGTGCTATGCAGCCTCACCTACAGCACTGGGTGCAGCTTTGAGTGCCAAAATAGGAGAAGGGCATAAAACTATGAGAGAGCATCCATAGGAAGGCTACAAAGATGGTGAAGAGTCTGAGGGCAAAGTGTGTGAGGAACAGCTGAGGTCCTTGGGTGTGTTCAGCCCAGAGCAGTGCAGGCTGAAGGGAGGCTTGATGATGGCTGCAGCTCCTCACAGGGCAGCGCTGAGCTCTGCTCTCTGTAACAGCGACAGGGACCAAGGGAACAGCATGGAGCTGTGTCAGCTGTGCCACTCCTCACTTGAGGAGCAAGTTGGGCACTGAAATGGGCTTCTCAGAGCAGTGGTCATGGCACCAAGTCTGTTGGAGTCAAATAAAGTGTTTGGACAGTGTTCTCAGGCACAGGGTTTGAATACTGTGAGGTTCCATATGGAGCTAGAAGTTGTTCCTGATGATTCTGATGATCCCGCCCAATTTGCAATAGTCAGTGATTTTTTTATTCTGTTTTCTTATAAATGCCACATGTATGCACACTCCCACCCAAACACCCATGTTCATCTTCATGGAATTTTAGTGGAATGCATAGAAATGAGTTTTTTGGCCTCTTTCTGTGGGGTTTCTGTTGCTGCTGCTCTCATCTTTCATCCTAAGTGCCAGTGTAATATCACAGTGACTCAAACTCCTTGTATTAAAGAAACTTGTTTTAAATTACACTAAATTAATGTATGTGTATTTTGGAAATAAAACTGCTGTCTATGGGGGAGAGAGGGAATTCCTGTCATCTCAGTTCAGGAATCTAACTTATTTTGTTGCATTGTATTAAATGGAGGAATTGAGAGCGAGTTTTGACTCTTGAATACGTGCTTTGAGTAAATTCCGAAGGATTTTCCATTCTCCCTTAGCTTTGAAGATAATGGTGATGGATGGCTCAAATTTGACTGTATTGGTACATGATCCTGTTACAGAGGAAATAATTTCTTGGAAAGCTTAATTTTTCTTCTTTTAAATTACAAAATACTTATTTTTGATGGTATTTCTTACCATCCATCCTGCAGGAGAGATGTACCTGGTGCAATTCTGAGATTCAGATTCACAGTTCTTATCTCAGCTTTATGTCTGAATGTGTGAATTGGAAGAAACAGGTTAATATGCTTTTCCACAATCCTGCTTGCTTTCTTAACTCTTTGTAGTAATTTTTAAACTCAGAAACCATCAATGTGTAGTGTCTTTGGATACCTGTTGACCTTATGACAGACTAGCAAGACATGCTGTGAAATCCTAGGTGGCTTTTTCAGCATTTCTTAAAAGGGGAAATACAGTTTGGCCTCAAGTTAATGGTAGCTCTTTAGAGAACTGCAACTTGATGACTCACCTTGGCAAAACTTAGAAGAAATTTAGAACAAGAATATAGAGACACTCATTTGCTAAGGTTCTGTTTGGTATCTAAATGAGTGTATGTTTCAGTGTTTTTCAGTAAACTCTCCTTGCGAATCAAAAATTTTTACTGCATCTCACTGATGCCATTGGTTCACCATGTTGCAAGTATATTCTCTTCAGAACTATGTACAATCAAGCTGTGCCAAATTATGGAAGTAAAACAGGTTAGCTACTGAGTGGAGACTACAGGGGAAAAACAGGTGTTGCAGTAAAGAGCCTTGAAGAGCAAGTTTTCAGCAGAAGTTTGTAATGCTTTAGTACAGTGAAAGGATGTGTTCACATTGAAAACAAGTTGCTTTTCTTTGCGATAGTCCTGTTTTTATGTAGCATTTAGTAACAGTCTAAGGAAAGGAGGCAAATTTATCTCGCCTTTCCTGTCTTCACCTAAGCTGCATGGTACAGGAATTCATAGTACACACAGAACCAAGCAACTTGGTTGAAATGTTCTTGAGATCAGTGTTATTTGTAAAGTGCATTTTTAGTGGCTATGCCATAGCTTAAACTTGGACAGGACTCCCTGCATCAGCGGACCTGCTGAGGATAAGCTGAATCCACTGACACTGCTAAAACCATAGAGTTGTTTGACTTTTTCTGGCTAAAACAACACTCACATGTTGTGTTTTCCATGGGGTGAAACTGCTATGTGGTGCAGCTGTAATTAGGGACGTGAGTGGGGAAGTGGCTGTGGGTGCACAGCTAGGCTGCATGCTGGGCCTCTGCCAAGCAGGCCTGGGAGATTGCTCTGGAGGATGGAAAGCAGAAGGGAAAGAGAAGGCCTGCCAGCCACACCTCTCCTATTGCTGTTCTAAATCATCCTGCCCTGTGGCAGGAGAGAGGGGACAACTGGAATGAGCCATTTCCTCTCATCAGTACTGCTCTATGAGGAGCAAGTCCTAAGAGGAAGGGAACTGGCAGTTTCCCTCAGGCAGGTCTCTGCGGCTCCGTGCACTGCCCAGGGAGTGTGGTGCCTCAAAATGTCTGTGAGGATCCCTCACAGGTTTAAGAAAGGCAGAGGAAGTAATTGTTCCCATCGTGGCCAATATGGTGTGTGAAGCTGTATTTAATGAGAGAGGGTTTGCTCAAGAAAATCTGAAATAGTGTAATTTATTTCACATTGCTAATGAGCATTGCAGTACATTTGAGCTGTACATTTCTAATCAAATACTCTTCATGCTTTCTGTTAGTGGGAATTTGTTACTTCGGCTGCCATTATTTCATTTTTCATGAGAAAAAATCTTTTGTTTAAGACCTAGTTTTGCCCGTGGTTTCTCATTACCTTTTCCTGACATTTCAAGTTGCAAGAGAACGATTCAGAATAGCTGCACAGATGGTTTCAGTTTAATCTGCTATAGAAAAATACAACATTATTTGCTTTTTTTTTTTTTTTTTTTTTTTTTAAAAATTTAAGATACATTATAAACCAGCAAATAAAAAGGGATATTTTCCATGGCCGTTTGCTGTGTTGTTTTTCTGATGCTGCCTACCTGGGTGCCTGTATAGTCCAAGGTAAGTACAAGCAGAAGATTTGTGAGAAATAATTCATAACTCTTACAAGTAATCAATATAAAGAGAAATGCAAAATTGTGTGAGATTGGTGATGAGAATAGCAATAACTTTTTTTTTTTTTTTAACCTGTATTTTTTTTTTTTCTCTGCATTTGTGTCGGTTTTAAAATGTTTAAGTAATTCAGCTTGTAGCCAGCTTATGACACACAGGACTTATGACAACAACAACAACAAAGCACCAACAAAACTAACTAACGAACCACACACAAAAACTACAAAAAGCAAAACAAAACAAACAAACAAACTTGAAACCCCACTAGCTGATTGCCTTAGAGTTAGAGTTAGAAAGTATGTCATTGGTATTAGACTGCCATTACAAAGAAAGCAAAATTCTGTTCTTTTGCTATCCTGAATGTAAACATAGTCTATACTAGTGGAACTAAGCAGGAAAAGTTTCTATTCAGTGTATTTTCTTGTGGAAAAGACTGTCATTTCATTTGTGTAATGCTGGGATGAGAAAACATGAGGAAAAAAAAACTTCTTTAAGGGTGCCAGAGCACTGTAGAAGGCTACCTAGTGAAGTCATGGAGTCATCTTCTCTGGAGATAGTCAAAATTCGCCTGTAGAAAACCTGCTTTAGCAGGGGGTTGGACTAGATGATCTCCAGAGGTCCCTTGCAACTGATTTGTGAAATCCTTGACAAAGGAGTAGACACAATTCAAGGAGAAAGACCTCCTTTTTTTTTTTTTTTTTTTTTTAATCTCTTACTTTCTCCTTTTCAGTTACCAAAGACAGAATTGATATATATATATCTTGGAATGCACTAAATAAGGTAGTTAGCTACATGCCTAATTAGGGACTTCATACGTGTGCAAGTGCCCTTCATTCTACCTTAATCTGAATGAATCTTTTCATTCATCATGAAGCTGCTTATCCAAAACAAGATCAAGTCTAGACCGTATTAAAAGAGACTTATCTAGAAAAACAGAAACCAAATGTCTCACTTAAATATCTAAGTGATCATCTTTTAGAAGGAGAATCGGATACTGTCTATTATTTAAAGGGTCACCTTTAAATAATGGTACAGACAAGTGGGGATAAATTGGCGAAGAAAACAGCATGGTCTGGAATACACTGTTTTTGTTCTGCCTAGTAGGAGAATGGTAAGTAGTAAAACAGGGAGGGTTTCCTATATCTTCTTTAACGACCCTATGTTCTGCCAAAGATGGTATTTTAAGATTGCTAATTACTGCTGCAATAAATAAAACATGAAATTTGCTTGAAACTCGGTGATTGTAGTTTCAGCTAGCTACAAGTTCTTCAAAGTAGCATTTCTTCAGAGATGCTTCATTCTTACAGTCCCTGAATTACACTATTTATAGACTTTCTCTTCTAACTTTGCAATTTAATTTTTCTGTTCTATTTTGTGTTTTGAATCTATTTAGCTGAACTTGGTGATTACGATCCTGATGAACACCCAGAGAATTATATGAATGACTTCAAGATTTTTCCCAAACAGTCACATAAGCTTGAGAAGAAAATAGCTGAAATACATAAAACCGAATTCAGGTAATTTAGAGTGCTGCTCTGTAAAGTCAGCTAAGGATTATTTTATCTGTTTCTACATTGCGTGTATTAACCCAGGAGGGTTTCTTTCTTCCTGTTTAATATGCTGAATTTGAAAATTCAGTTTCTGCTTAGTGGGTTTTCTTTTTCTAATAACCTCCATTAATCCTAGCTGTTTCCCACATGTGTGGTGGTAATTTAGACTGCATTTGCTTGAAAGAGGGGTCTGGTTATGGGAGTAGCTCACATCATGTGTGCTGTAGTTGATTAACAGAATGACATTTTTCAGTTTGGGATCAGAAGTACGTGGAAGACTGTCTCGTCTTTGGGTGTGAAATATCTAAATGTAATGCATTACAGAATTCAGGATTGATATTGATTGCAATGGAACTGTAGGTTTTGTTAACAAAGATATGATTTATACAGAAATGTGTTTAAAATAGTTTTGTGCAAAAAAAAAAAAAAAAAAAAAAAAAAAAGGAGGTTAGATTTTAGATTCAGTATACACCAACTTTTTCTGTCCTAAACTCTCAATTGTGTGAGAAGGAGGAAGGAATAAAGATGGGTTGATCTCTCTCTAGGTTTCAAAGTTGAATATATCCCACAAGTATTGTATTGCAGAAGAGTAGTAGCAGTGCTTTGTGCAACTGTCCCCAGGTCAGGATTGTCAGTGAATAGCATGCATGGTGACAGTGTCAGAAATTACTCATCATTTTGCATGGTGGAGAATATTCCTCTGAGAACCATGAGAAGAATAGGAAGTGCAGAAAATTAAATAAAATCAAACAATTAAATTAAGAGGATAATTTTTATTCAAAGATGATGAAGTTCATTGCACTTCCTTGAAACATGCCTATCTTGTTTAACAAAAAGAAGATTGTGAATCATCAAGTCTCCCTCCCCAACAAAAAAAGGGAAAATATCCCCTATTTTCAGAGGAGTTGAAAATGAAAAGCGTTTGTTTTTTTCAGAAGTCTATCATATATATGTTGTTCAATCATAAGGTAAAATTACTGATGAGTGTGCCAGAATTAATGTGCTTCCCCTTTTTTCTTTCTTAAACTTATGTGTTTTGTTTATATTTCTTTTATATTTTATATAACAATATTTTAAACAATATTTTAAATAGTGCAGCTATGGGGATATTTTTAGATTAGTTTAGGCTGAAGTTTACACAGATCCAGAGAAATACTGTTTAAAAACAAAACCAATTTATCTTACTTTAAGCACTAGTCCACATGATAGCTGGAGGTTTCCAAATGCTGAATTCAACTTTTAAAAACCAAGGTATTTCATCATTTCAGCCATGGTGCAATTGGGAATATTTTGATCCATTTGGCAGGAATAGTCTAGTCTTTTATTTAAAGTTAGGAGAGAGAAAAGAAGACTTGTTAGAGGGAGCTGATGGCTTTTGTATTTAGCAGCCTTGGGAAGAGATGTATTTTTTTCAGCTGTGTTTTTCTCTTGTACATAATTCTGCCCATGCATCATAAATTTACCTGCTGGTCACTCTATCATGAATAATCAGGCTCACTTTTAGCTCATTTATAAATCCCCTGTTCTGATTAGAATAGTATTCCTCATCCTGTGACAGTGATCATTACAAGCCTTCACTCAGGTCTGTCTAGGATTCTGCTGTGGTCCATTCCTGCGCTCTGGTCCCCCTGTTGCTGCTTGTGAGAATATCCCTTGAATTTCATTAGTCTTGGCAAGGAACACCATTAATTATAGCCTTTTGGAAATTCAGGCAAATTGTATCAGTTCAGTTTCCTGCTGATTTCTTCAAAGAGGAAGTGTTTGAGGCAGAACTTTGATTTATAGCAGAACTCACCTTACATCTCATTTCTGTCTGTGTTGGTAATTCTCTGTAGTAGGTTTTGCCAATCTGTACACTATTAATGTTAGACTTAGTGGCTTACAGCTCTTTCTAGATGCCAGAAGCAGTTTTCTTCTCACTTCCTCTCCTTCCTGACCATTTTTTTTTCTTATTATCAGCTCACAGTGTTCTTTATATATTTGCCTGGCTGCAAAGACAGTTTGAGGGCTGTGTGCATAGCTGCTGCTTGGTCCTGGCAATTTGCATCTTTAGCTCTGTATTCCAAAAATTGATAACCCTTTCTTACATCAAGCACTCAGCTGTCACATAAAAGTTTTACCTTTTTCATAATATTTAATTCCTTGGATCTCTATTCTAGGATTACAAATGAATAAAACATATCTGTCATATAATGAACTATATATAGAAAGATCTAGTGCTAGATAATCAGATTCTAGTATCTTAACTATAAAAAGATTATTAGAAAAAACACTGAGTTGTCAAGCTTCTATTTCTTGTTTATCAGCACATGTGTTTCATTGCATTCAGTAGAATTTTTTTAATGAAATTAGTATTTTGCTTCTCAGTGAGTATTGTTAGAAATGCTGAAGGAGGTTCACAGGCCTTATATTTAAAAGGCACTTAAGTCACATGTTAAGGAATGGGAGAACAGAAGAGACAAAGCCATTTTAATCCAGTTTCCATTTAGCTAACTTTGAAAGAGTTATTTCTGAGTGACATCACTGCAGATGAATCTGTCCTTTCATTTTTTTCACACATGTAAGCAAAAACTATGGAATCCATCTCTTCTGTGTAACCAAAGCCCTGTGGCTTGGAGGGTGCCAGTTCTTAATTGAATCCTATCTCAGCATCCTCATTCTCAAGGTCTTACTACATGCTGAAAGAATTTGCCTTTTGAAAGTCACATGAGAATAGTGAGAGGAATGTCTGGGAAACAGCCAGTAATGCTGTGACAGCTGCCAATTACTTATGACTTTTTGGTGTCACTTAGAAGTCTTGTTCTTATTAGCTAAAAAGATGTATGACAGATGTATGACATGGTACTTTTATTTCATGCTCTGTTTGCCTATGAAAACATCACTAGATTTTAGCAAAATGCAGGCTTTCTTATGACCATCTTCTTCACCTGGTTGCAAAAATTATAAACATGATGGATAAACAAATGTGTGAAAAAAATTTATTGTGCTGTGATTCTTTGTCTTGTGAGTTGTAATTAGTTATTCTCATTGAGAAAAGGAGAGGAACAGTAATAATTTAATTGATCTTTACAGTGAATGGGCAAACAAGTGCCATGATGTCATATTCTCATTCCAAGTAAGGCCTCTTTTGAAACACGATGTACTGCTGAGAGAAAGAGAGATAATGGTCTTATGGCATAGCAGCTTAGAATGATGAGTATATGTTCACATTAGGATGAGAAGTGGGCACTTATTCTTGAAGGATTTGAAGTTGATTTGATTGCTATATGTTTGGGTATGGATATAACAGTGCAGCTACAGAATTCATAGCTACTTGCATTTCTGCTCGCCCATCAGTTTTAACAGATTGGAAGAGATTTTGGCCATAAAAACAAGATATTCAATGAGTAGATCAATATATATTTCAAGTGAAGCAGATGCTTATGAATGTCTCCAGTTTACTCATTTAATATTTTAGCTAGACTAGTGCAAGTATTTATGAGGCTGCATTGTAAATCACATCACTGAAACAATCCAAATAAAAAACATCTTTTATTTTTTGCTTGTCTTTCAAAGAAAAGTACATGGAATTACACATGCAGTTCTAAGTATTAGAGTATTTTACAGTATTAGAGATATTTTACACACTGTACAATCTTCAGTGTATAAAGCTGTACTTTATTTCTGATGACCAAAAAAATCCCACCTTGACAAAATTATGATAAAGAATACTGTGTAGATCTAGGAGGGAAAAAAATGAAACCACAAAAAAATGTAACCCATCAAGTGAACTTGGGCAGAATCATGAAATTTTTTTGATAGAGGAGAGAGATGTTAAGCCAAAGATCATTTCTTCAAGCCTAAAGCAGGGATACTAAGATTTTTATTTATTTATTTATTTTAATTTGAGAAGATCACTCAGGCAGTCTTGATCTCTGGAATTTCAGAGCTGTTTTTAGCATATTAATAATTTTATGACTGTGCCCAAAACAGTTGTACTTTTTCCACAAAGTTGCTTAAGCAAATTTAGTTCCTGGCACTGTTTTGATTCTTGCTAGTGGATTTTACAGGCTTCTCTTACAAGTAAATGGAGGTCATATATATATCACATACCTGTTGTCAGTTTCTTCTTCCACATGTACTTCAGTGTTGTTACAAGTGCGTCATTTGTTTTAAAAGATGGATAAAAACTTCAGATGTTTTTACTACATTTACAGTGCCTTCTCTCTTCTCCAAGATACAAATTTATTCTGTCCCAAATCTTCTGTCTTAAAATAGAGTATTTATAACTCTGATAAATTCCCTGTCTTTTGAAGAGTACCTATCAACCATAGTTTCCTGAGATCAGACCTGAAATCCAGATAATTCCAAAGACAAGATTCATATATAATCTGCAGAAGGGAACATCTGTTTGTTGAAATTATGTTTATTTTCTCCTCTTTTCATATGAAAGGTATGTGATGAAAGTACTTAGAAGTTGAGACTGAAGATTTTTTTTGTATCCCACCTGATAACTGCTTCTGATGTGAAATACAAAGTCATGTAACTTAAATGAGTGTATTATGTAAGAAGCCCTAAGGACACATAATTTTGCCAATTAAATTATGAACCAATTCAAGTAGCTATTTCTCAGGCCAGTTTCATAGGTAAATTCAAATAGTTTATCATTACTTGGAGTTGCTGATGTTAATACAGGCTCAGGGTACTTGACCGCTACTTGGCTATTCACTCCAATGTGTGACATTTTCTAGATTCTGCAAAAGTTTTATGTGGAAGAAAATCTTTTGGAAGAGGAAGAGATTTCCTCTGAGGGCATGAAATCACTGACATGTTTTGTTAATAACTATCCTTACTATCTTTAAGTATCTTCCTATATAAGAAATTTAAACTTTTAAACTAAAGGGTAATATTTTCATGAAAACCAGATTAACAAACTAATGCTTGCTTTTGATGAAAGATAAATGAAAAGTTTTGTTTAAATTTGTTTT